GATGGTAGGTCTACTGTGTTGTGTGTAGTCATACAATACAGTTGTTTAATTTGGCAATGTAGTTTGGTTATTATTTCGGAAGTAGTGTCAAGTGTATTTGTATTTAGAATATGTTGTAAGGAGGTGTCAATAAGGTTGTGTAGTAGCTGGTCAGATGGGCATGTTATCCAGTAGAGATGAGAACTGGTTTCGTGGCATTGATGACAGGTTGGTGGATATGAGTGATATCGTTTGTGAAGAATATGTGGAGTAGGAAGGTTATCAAGTAAAATTTTAATTCTAAAAGATTTAAGAGTGGAAGATTGAGAGCTATGTGATATTTATACTGTTGTAATGATCGATGTTAACATTAAAGCATATAGATATTATGTATATAAAAGTAGTACTTAAATTACTTTACAAGTTAAAAGATTTTTATAAAGAGGTAATTAAAATTATTAACAGATGTCTGTAATTTGATCGTTATTTCTTAAAAATTAAAAATAAAATATGTTGATTATGCCATAATTTGCTTTTTCTTGATTTGATTACTGTAGTTAATATTCTTACGTACTAGTTTTATATTTAATATTTAGTATATAAAAAAAATTTTTAATCTTATATGTTTTATTAATGAAAAAGTTTATTTTTTTTTTGCTCTTATACATGTCATTATTTACATCATTATTACCTATCTAACATAGTATACTTTAATGACTACCAAAAATTTCAGCAGATCAATTAAATTTTTATTGAAATACAGTAACTGGTAATACAATTCACCAAATTAGAACATCCATAAATCTTTATAAAGTCAAAATAAAAATATATTTTACAGAATCTTTAATTTTTTCAAAATATGATTCATATAATAATCATGTTTTATAAAAATTTTTTTATAAAAATTCTTTAACGTTAATTAAAAACATTTAAAATATAAGTGATCGAACGCTAAAATGTAAAGGCAAAAAAATGAAACTTTGAACATTCCTTAAATCATGAACTTAATATACTAAGGTACCAAGAGATGAAAGCAGCAGTAAAAAAACTGCTTAAACAAAAATAGAACTTTGAGTTTGTCATTTTAAAGCATATTATTTCTTTCCTCCATCGTAAAATTCTCTCATAATCAAATTTTAAGGATGTATAATGGTATATTGGGGTATAAGAAAGATGGGTCTGTATTATTTCACCAACAATCATTTCACTGATAGCTCATTTAACTGACATCACACCAAGCAACAATTTACTAAAAATATATACTAATAAATAATAAAATGCTAATCCTAACCCTATGTGATGTCAGTCAAATGAGCTGTCAGTGAAATGATTGTTGGCGAAGTAAATGGCACCGAAGAAAGATAGTTGTTCAAAGAATCCTGAATGATGACATTTAATCAAAATTTTGGTATTTATTTATAAATAATTATATCACTGACCTGTGACAGTGAGATAAATATATAGTACAAAATATTTAAAAATATTTCTGTGGTCATGACAATTGTTTCTCTAGTGCTAGTCTTTTTCGCTCCAAAGATCAACACCTATTTCACCACAAAAATAATCACAGTCAGCTTTGATCATGTTGGCTTATTAGAAAACAAAGTAACAAGATTCACCAGAGCTTGGTCTTTAAAAATAATAAACATTTTTCCTTTTTAAAACAATTATAAATATCATCTCTTTATCTATAATACCATCTTCAAAATGCTTTTATTAAATTACTATAATAATTCCATAAAATAATTTTTTTCTGAATTGAACTTTATTTACATAAGTTATGATTGCATCTTTTAAAAAAGTTTAATTGCTTCTCAAATTGTATTCCTGTGAATTGTGAGATCTTCAATACATAATTAAATTAGAGTTAATTAAATTTAATATATATAACAATACAATTATTACATGTAAATATGAATAATTAAATATAAAATTCACAAATTGTAAATTATTTTATTGCTGGTAAGATGTCCAATAATTTTTCCAATCATCAAAGCCAAGAAAATACAGAAAGCAATTCAGAAAATTCTATCGAACAAAATGTAAATTTGGATGCTTTACAAAAGTCTGCATCAAACGTATTTCACATACAATGTACCTCTATACAAGAATTTAATGAAGGTGGTTTTCATAAAGTGTACATCTTAAAGATAGAAGATGGTAAAGAATATATTGGGAGAGTAGCATTCTCTGTATATTCACAATGGAAGACAGAAAGTGAGGTAGCTGTTATGGAGTATATTCATTTAAATTCGAACATCCCTGTTCCCAAAGTTTATTATTGGAATAGTTTTGTCAATAATCCGGTAGGAGCAGAATATATTTTAATGGAATATTTACCTGGAATTCGTCTTTGCGATATCTGGAGTGACCTCTGCATGAAAAAAAAAAGATGTTTCTATTAAAAATTATTAACATTCAATTGGAACTTAAAAAACTTTCATTTTCAAAAATTGGTAGTATTTTTTTTGATGGTAAAAATGATCAATTTAAAATTGGTCAGGTAATTGAAAGCGACTTTTTTACTGGTGAATGAGCAATTTTATCAACCATGGAAAGAGGTCCTTTCGACACAACTAATGAATATATTTCAGCTGTTATTCGAAACCAGATCCTTTATAATTATATCTTTAAATCTATAGAACAACAAAAATACTGGATTTCAAAATATGAAGAATTATATAAATTAGTTCCTAAATATTTTCTGGATGAAATCAAATCCATGTTTGTATTGATGCATAAAGACTTTCACTTATCAAATATTTTAGTCAATGATGACAAAATCACAGGGGTTATCAATTGGGAATGTTCTGGCGCATTTCTAATGAAGTGCCTATGTATTTTTCCAGTTTGGATAATTAACAATCAAATGATAGAACCAACTAGCAAGAAGTCCAAGAAAAATGTAATACTACAAAAATTTTTTCATGATGAAATGTCTCATCATAATCCTGATTTTATTCGCATATTTGACAATATAAATATAGATGAAGAAAAAAAAATTTTATTCTGTAGTATTTAGTCAAGAAGTATAGAAAGTAGAAGATTTTTTTAATAAATTTGGAAATAGAATTTCTAAAGAATTATTCTAATTCAAATTATAGTACTAGCAATTGAAATAATATGAATATTGATAGGTAGTGTCCAATTAAATTCAGTTTTTATTGTTTAAACAATAGAACAGAAGTTGAATCTCATAATCTTGGATACTCTTATTAATCAGTTATAGTTTTTAATATAATTTTGTTAATTCAGAACTAGGGTACGAATTTCATTATTGACAACTTATACCTTTTTTCAGATAGTTGAATATTAATATGTAGTAACCAATTTTTTTAACTTAAGAAAATTATTGTAATTAAAACATGCTTATGGCAATAATTCAATTATAAATTTAATGGATATAAAATCTATTAAAAATCACAATTTGTCAATTAAATTGCATTAAGGAATTTTCAAGGATATTATTGTTTTTAAAAAAATACTATAACAATCAAATATAAGAACATTTATTCTAAAAATATTTTAATAAAAAAATAACTCAAAACTTTATTTGGCATAAAAAAATTGTAATTGTAATTAAATTATTATAACTAAAAAACTTTTATATTAGAAAAATAAAGAAAATAAACTTCAGTTTTTTGCATATCAATATTTTTGATTCTTAAGTATTACTCATAGTCACATTACTTTTTTTTGACATTGTCGGTTATTAAAGGAAACAGTAAAATAACCAGTTTTGTTACTTTTGTAAACACTGCATTTCTGTTCATGCTAATAAAATGAATATTTTGATTTTCATTATTTATAATTGGCAAGTTAAAATTCAATGAATTGATTAATATTAATAAAATTTTTAATTTAATATTTTTAAAACAATACAAGATTAAGCCTAACTTAATTTTAAAATATCTGTATTAATCAAATGTTTTAATTAATAAGAGTTTACAAATATGATAGAAAAATGTAATGAGTTACAATTCTTTCTTCTACATTAAGTTCAAATTTGTTGTGATATTTGTTGTCATAGTTCAATTATACTGCATTGTAAGAGATTATTCAATTGAGTGAATCCTAAATTCAGAGTTTGATATAAATATTATATCTACTTGTGTATTGAAACCATGATTAGAACAAATAAATAAATATATACATATTCTAAGCATAGTTTTACTATATAGCAATCCATTATTTATTTCTCTATGTCTAACCCAAATCATAACCATCATTGTCAAATATGTAATAAATCCAGATTTTGCCAAAAAAATCAGATAAAATGTAAAGAATGTAATTTTGTTCATAGTACAAGACAAAAATATTGTTTTAGATGCAAAATAATACAAAACTCAAAAAGAAAACAGGAAATCAAGAAACAGAAGGAAAAGAAAAGGAAACAAAAGTAATCATAAAACTTTAAGCTTTAAAAATCAAACCTAATACCTCAGACAGCTTATAAGTAGAAAAAATTAACAACTGCACACATTAAGATATTAATAGTTTATTATAATAATAGCTGTAGACATTTAGATATCACTTGTTTTATTATTAAGATCATATAGTCTACGAATTGGTACAAAGTTTGCTAGAGGGGTGAATGAATTAACATTAGTCTTCGATAATGGGTAATTTGTTTAAAAATCATTAATTTAAAATTATTTAGTGATTGTGACCATATTTTAAAGTTTAGGCTTTTCCTCTAATCCCAGATTATTCTATAATTTTAAACTATAATATTTTTAAAGAGTAATTAATGTACTGGATAGAGATTCTATTATTTACTGTATTTGACCTACTACTTACTCATATGTTTTAATTATTATTTTTTGTGAGCATTTGCCTTTCGTTTTTTTCCTTTTTCTGTGATATCGTCAAATACAAATTAATTGACTTATCATAAGTAAGTATATATCAAATTGACTGTAGATAGCATAAGACTTATTTTTTGTTTTAGAAATTGCTGATTAATATTAAAATAAACTCTTACATGTTTGATTACTAAAATACATGTCTTAAATTTATAGAAATTAAACTCGTACAAAACAGAGTACTGTATATTTGTGATTCAATATATCACAAATTTTTTAATTAAGGGTTTAAAGAAAGTTCTGATGGAGGAGAACAGATTCTGATAATCAATAAATATTGTAGTATTATTAATGAATTGCAATGCACTTTAGGATAAATGTAAAAATAGATACATATTTGATACAATCACTAATAGTGAAACCAAAGACAAATATATTCAACATGTTTATATCAACCATTTATCAAATTATCAAACAATCAGCAATTTGGCGCTTCTTGAAAATATCACAATATTGCAGTGTAAAAGGATAAGCATTTGTGCAAACCTTACATTGTAACTTTGCCTAAGTTCTATTCTACATATAATCCTGCTAATTCTTCAAGATTATCTATATTTTGTATACATATCTTTTTTAATTTCCTTATATCTGCCAATTTTTTTATAAAAAGATGAGTGACTGTTTAGCTTTTTCAATGATTTCTTTTAATACACTTATGAAAGAATAAACTCTGGCTCATAGGTTCTAAGTAAGCAAGCATCAAATAAATCTTTGCCCAAATAAAAGACACCTGGAGATTGACCTTCATCTGAACTACTAAAATCCTATTAGTAGTAGTTATAAAAAAATATTTTTAAAAAACACTGTCTCAACTAATGAAAATGCATTAAAAAAATCAAGTTAGAGATTGCTTATAGGTATTTCTCCACTACGAGAAATACCAGCTCTGCTAATTAGATATGTGACCCAATCACTAGTTTTCGGCCTAATTATATTTAATTTAGGCCGAAACAATTGATTGGGTTACATATCTATCAGTAATTATAATACATGTGCTACTGGGGCATTTCATACATATACGTACTAAATAATCAAGTCTATATAAGATATTATAATAAAAATTATTAGTATGGATTTTTTATGTATCGGTATTATCTGATATTTTTGCACCCATAAAGTAGATATGTAATTTAATCAACCCAAATTAAACATACTTTAGGCCGAAAAAATTAATTGGGTCACTTATCTATCATGAAGATCTTGATATACCCGGCAATATTATTCAATTGAATCTTAAAAAAGATTCAGTATTAAAACTATCAATAAAAAACTTACAATAAAACTTTATATATATTTAAAAATTAAAAATTTAAATGTCATACCCTGTATTTCATTAAGAATATCTATTAGTATTTTTCGTATTGTCACTAGTTTTACTTTATATCACAAGATTAGACCTGGTTAGTTGACAAAAGTAGGGCCATACTACATCCCTATCTATCTTGTATAATTTGATTTTAGTATACATTCTGAATTATAAATGGTTATTTTTGATGTACTATCAGATCTTGTATAAATTGATTAGCAATACATATAAAATAATTCAATGTTTCAACCTTCAGAGATTTTTAATAAATATGTGGTAGACTTCTTCTGAATATTATAATTTGATAAAGTTTCTTCATCTTCAAGAAGTACAAAGTAAACTCCATAGTTACAGCGTGGAACACTCCATGCAACCTCAAAGGGAGTACAAATTCACACGATGGTCTAAAAGTATGCTATACTTATGAGTCAGCTTATCTTCTTAACATTACTTTAATATTTGAAGAATTGATAATGTATAATTTTATAAAGTTTTTGTGATTAGCTTGTAGCTATCTACCTATTTAAGAATTTTCTGATGTTGATCAATAATAATGATAATCAATTAATTATTAACGTTAATAATATATTAATCAGCTTAAATATGATTGCCACTAATATACTTATATAAATCACATTAATTAATTAAAGGTTTTCACTGCCATAATTAATAATCTTTAAAACAATAGAATGTAGTACAATTCGATTATATTTGCTTATTTTATTAAGATGAGTATTATTTTCTCATAAACTTTTTAATACATTATTTGAATTGATACTTGCAGCCTCACATCAAGCTTAATTAAATTTGATTCATATCAACCGAATCTTGATTAAAAGAGGATTATTACCTGGTCTAAGTAAAACAAATACAAAATATCATATTACTTATTATAACTTATATATCAAAATATGTAAAAATTAAAATAATATTAAAAAATTTACATATTAAACATAAATGTTGTTTCATTAGTTTAGGCTAGTAACAACTCTATCTGATATGTATAAATTAAATCATCCACTTCTCTGTGGTTATTGTCTCTTCTAAGACTTAATTGTCATCTTTAAATTATAATTATATTAATAAGAATCACATGAATTGATAAGTAATTATTAACAATATTATAAATAGGAAATTGATATTTCCACACTCTTTTTTGATATTGCCACAACTCTGCTAACTCTAAACCTTACCAAAATCCTAATAATTTTATTGATTTCTATTAACATAAGCATGTCAATATTAAAAAAGGGTGTGGAAATATCAATTTCCAATAAATAACCTTCTAACAGAATATCTTAAAGCAAATTTAGGTAGCATATTTAAAACACAAAATTTGAGAGAAAAAAATAACGAAAATTATTTTATATAAGTTTTTTCAGATTAGCTTTTTGTTAACATTGTATATTTGAGGTGTTATCAATCAAAATGTAACGTACTATAGTGAGATTAAAAATATAATTACGCAATATTATGTTATTATAACAATGTAATCTTACTATGATACATTACGTTTTGATTGATAACACCTTATTTGTATATTTGTAATTAAATAATTTTACATAGTCAATTGGACTGTATTAAATTTATCTAATTCTAAAAAGAAAAAAAATTCATATGTAGTGAATTTTCTTTATCAATATCGCATAGTAGACAAATATAATCTTATATTAATGCAAGTATTTATTTCTGGCAGTTGTCTCACAGCATAAATTTGTTTTAACATCAGAAATGATGTAAGAAAGGAATTAAGTTCGGTCTTGTAGAAAGCATCATAGCGAGTTTTACTTTGGATAATAAAGTCAAGGGTGCCAAGTGAAGGTGGAGATCACTAAATTTACAGAAAATTAATGAATATTATAAATAACATTTGTAACTCAATTCTAAAATGACTTTCGTGGCTCAATTCAAAAATCAAATTCTGTTAAAATTTTCCACTTTTCAGATCCTTGTATTATCATCTTATTTTTATCTTTCCACTTAAATTTTAATTATTAAATACTCATCATGTCAAGGCACCTCCATCAAGTTCAATATTCATATGATCATGCTGTGTCCATAAAACAGGAATGCCTTTTATTGGCCGAGTTATTACGAAAAAATTCCTGGTAAGAATTATTTAAAGTTTTACATATGTTTAATTTTTTTTTTATATTGCATATCAATAACCAACAAGGCAGCTAAACATTGCAGTATTGTTTAATACAATATGAAAATCATTATATTTGTTATCTGCTAGCAAAATACAAATAAGAGATCATTTTTTATCATTAATCATACATTAATTGTATGCTTATAATTCATCAGTAATATTCAGTGTTGTCAAACAGTTTGTTTGTTGATAATTGCCACATTCTTTTATTATGTTATTTATCACTTCACATAATAAATAATATAATAAAAAGATGAGACAATTGCTAATAAAAAATCTGTTTGACAACACTGGTAGTATTATAGTTTTGATAATCGATGAGTTATTCAAGTAAAATCAATACGTCAATAAATAAATGTATTATTATATTTGCAAAATATAAGTTATGAGTTGAATTTTTCTCATCTCAAAAGTTTTCTAAAAATGAGTTATCAAGAACATCAAAATCTTCAGCAAAGCCAAAACCCTCAACTAAATCAAAACTCTTGACCAAATCAAAAACATATTGAAGTTTTCATCTTCAAAAAAATGAGTTCCTGAACGCGTCAAAAGCTAAAATATGCTGGAAAATCATTCGACTTCGGTCAAGAAATTCATATGTATGTTCATACTACTCTGGGCATCTACTATGCACTAAGATCAATTGATATTAGCCAAGCAGTATATTCCATAGAGTATTTGACTTTCCTATTGATCACTAATGAAGCTGAAGATTTATTAAAATTAAAAGAATGGGTCTTTAAAAGCGCCCAAGAGCTGGGAATCGACATCGAAGGGGTCATCCGAAGTGGAATTGATTCCAAATTTATAGAAAATATAAAATAAGTATCAGTGGTAATAGTAAGAAATAGTTAATACCAATACCAAAAATGGCTATTTAAACCTATTTTGGAGCACTAATTAAAAATGTCAAGAAGGCAATTTTACATATAAGACTTGTTTTTGCCCTAACCTAACCCTAATTAAAGTTATATAATTGTGGCGTAGTTTTAGGCCCGAGATATATAAGTTAAACATCTCTAGTACTTTACTCATAATAACATTATATAAATTTTTTAAATTATTACACCAAGCTACTTCTGAAATTTGTTCAGTCCAAAAAAATCAAAGGGCAAAGAAGATTGTATCAATTTTGCTTCACAAGTCTTATTCAAAGAAGGTTTTTCCAACTGAGCATTGGTATTGTGGCGCATATGCATGGGTCAATGTAAATGGTTTTTGCGATTATCTTATAAACCTCAAAATAGATAGAAAATGTGAATTAAAAGATCTGCAACTGATTTTTGCCCAAATTAAACTCTAGCTTCGCCAAAATCTATAATTATTAATAATAAATTTAGCATATATTGTATTTATTGATAAAAAATATTTTTATTAACATTAATTCAAGTAACATTTGCTCATATTTATATTTTCAAAATAATATTCCTCAAGAATTACAAAAATGGTATTAAGTCAATAATTTAAAACACATCATATTTGCTAAAATCATTAGTTTGTTGCCTAGCCTTTCTACGACTATGATTGTATTTATTGATTTTTTTATTTGCAATCTTAGATAAGCCTTCATATTTATTTTTAATATGGTTCCAAATTTCAAGATCATTTTTGAACCTATCTTCTGTCACCCTAAGGAGTTGTTCTACTTTATTAAATTTTCTTCTTTCTTTAAATCTTCTATTTTTTCATTTGTAATTTCTTCATAGAGTTTAAAAGCAGATTCGTCATGACCAATTTCCTTATTACAATAAGCCATAATAATTTTTATATTTCTGTAGTTATCAGGAATTTCTTTGGCAATGTCTAGTGCTTCATTGTATTTTTTTTGCTTTTTATAATACAATGCAATATGTTATTTGGCTTTAATTTCGAATTTGGGATTCATTTTTTTAATCTCTAAATAAATCTTTAAATCATCATTTAAATTATTTCTATATTTAAAATTGGTTACTTTCTTTTTAAATTCTTCTTGGATGTTTTCATAGTTTACCTATAATAAATAATTTATTGAATTTAATATGTTTATACAATAAAACATGCAGGGGTGTTATTTTGAATTTTGGCCTAAATTCAGGCCACTATTACTTAATAAAGACCCTAGTGTGACCTTACAGCAAAAGAAAGATGGGCCAAAAATTAGATGTTTATAGTTTAATTCCAAACAATATTATTTTTCAAGATTTTAAATTTTTTTGGCCTATTTCTCTTTTGTTGTGAGGGCCCCAATTTGCGCATGCTTATATAAATATCATTATATTGAAAATACCTTAGCTGACATAGTTTAAGTTATTGGTATTCACTTAAATTATCAACAACTTTATACAAAATTTCCAGCTTCTTACTATACTAATAACTTAATTGAAAAATCTTGAATTAATTATAGTATTTATTTTTTGTTATTGAGAAAGATGTTAATTAGATTTAATAATCAAAAATTATTTAATTTAGTGATGCTAATTAGTATTAACACTTAAAGGGTAAAAAATATAGAATATTGAATAATTGAATAATTTTAGCTATTACATGTATTGAATTTTGTGATAAAAATGAAAAATTCGAATGTCATCTGTTACATTAAAAAAATATTATTCAAAAAAGACAATTATTTTTTATATTGTACTAAATGTGACAATTAAGATTCACCAATTGTGAAAATGCGATATTTGCAAATTGAACAAAAGTTCTTTAATATTGTTAAATCTTTTAATTACAAATAGGAAATTGGTATCTAATTTAATAACAAGCTTTACTTTATTAAAACCATATAAAAAAGCCTTGTTTCTGAATTTCAATGTATTCAAAAATGTGATACATATCACATTATTAATAAAAATCATATCTGTCATGTTTAATTTTAAACCTTTAACAATTTAAAAATGTTTTTAAATTTTATATTTCATGTTGGTGGCCAGACCAGCATCGATAGAGTCTTTCAGGATGAATTCTTTAAGTTTTCAAAAGATAAAAAAAAGCAATTGATTAATAATCAAGAATTCATTGTGTATATAACCAATACGATTCATTTTGTTCTTACCAGTTTCTGTCCAAAAGGTAGAAAATATGAAGATGGAACTATCGATAATAAGTATTGTTAACCTGTAGTTTTTCCTTTAACTACAGTGATATCAGAAGCTGCTCAACTATAGTATGATGACTATAACTT